GGCCCAGGGGTTCGCATCTGAACACACTTTGCTAGCTAGCTACGTTACCTAGCTAGCTAGACTGTTTCGTACTGATAAATCCAGTGAAATTCGATTTTTGCCTACAATATAATCTGAGATTATTCAAACTTTTGTCTGTAACTGTGCTAAGTGGCATTGCATTTCGTTTTACTGTTCATTAATTAGGTAGCTACCTAACGTTAGCTAAATGTTTGATTTAACGTTGTAGGTTACATTGAGTGGCTGTAACGTTAACTCGTTAGCTCTCGAGAATCCAGCATTGGGCCATAGTTTTCCTTAAAACACCAGCTATCGTTTCTGGGAGCATAAAACGAGCTAACTATCTACAAGATTGTGGTTACTGCTGAACGAGATAGATCGAAGATTTCATGCAATTTAGGGACAGATCACAATTTATTGGGTGGTGGGGGTTGTCAAACGATTTTTTTTCTTTCTTGGGCACAAGGTTACTCCCCCCCCGGTTTACATTTACATTTTAGTCATTTAGCAGACGCTCTTATCCAGAGCGATTTACAGTTAGCACATACATTATTTTATCGAACCCACAACCCTGGCGTTGCAAACGCCATGCTCTATCAACTGAGCTACATTACATTCAGTATTTGCAGGTTTTACTTTATAATTTCTTCCATCATAGCCAAATTTCCTCATCTGCTTTATGGAGGTGTTTTGGTACGTCCCTTATGCACTATGCTTTTCTGTGGGCAGGAAAGCTTAGTACACACTGCAATCCTCTCCAATCCGAGTGGCTATTCTTTAAGCACCTAGAACCTAACGCTTCAATATAGCCTAAATATTTATCATTTAACTTTTAAAATGTATTACCTTTTTATATGTAGCCAGGGCCTAAAATGAACACCTGCCAAATACGGGTAGATTTTGGCATTGGCAGGTAAGATGTCTATTTCATTAGCCACATTGGCAGGTGGTCAGGGCTCCACAGTGTGAGCAGTTCACTCGCATTTGTGAATAGAAAGTATGATCACATTTATAGTAAAATCAATGCTGCAGTAGTTGTTTTCAAAGTATTTCCTCCGTTTTGTTTCATAGCTGGTAAATGAATCGCACAAAGTCAAAACTACGAATCCTATATAGCCTATTCCACCTCACGCTGCCTGGCTGGGGGCTGTGCGCGCGTGAAGCGCTGAGTGAAATATACAATTTTAGAAGCACTGTACACAGGCATAAAAGTTTGTCTAATTTACTTGAAACGAAAGTCTACTGAAGTGAGACTTTGTCCTTGTGTTTCTTGTCTATTTACATTGTTTTGTTCACACGCTAGGTTGTTTTTCTATGTTCGAGTTTCAACTGCTAGGGAAGAGAAGACAACGCTTCTACTAGTTAGACTCAATCTCACAGGCACACACATGACTTGAGTCACACTACTACGGTAACCTCCCGCCCTTAAAGGGGCAGGTGAACATTTGTCTCATATGTGATATTTTGGTTAAAAGACTAGGTCACAAAAAATGAAATTAAACAATATACTACATTACCTCTTACTAGTAATACATTTATTGTTTTAGAAACATTACAAAGCATGCTCATCTGTTTTTGTGTGTTTTGTTGGTGTAATTCTAGCTGGGAAAAAAATATTTTGTCTGGTAAGAAATCTGAGAGGCTGGTTGACGTTTAACTCTACCTGCCACAGTGGCTGGTGGACCAAAAATAAAATGTTATGCCCTGTATGTGGCATCAACACAACCAGTCACAATGTTTTAATCTGATTAGGCTACTTCAAAAGTCTCCTGAAGGCCTGCTCACATTCATACAAAATATAATTTCAGCATCCTCAAAATGACTTGACATTAACCAGGTTTCCATCCAACCTTTTTATACAAGTAAAGTAGCCTACATGTTGGATAAAAACAAGTAATGACATCATGAGAAAGCATGCAATTCATTAAGTTACAGATTAAATCAGTTATGATGAACTTCACAGGGTGATGAATGTGCACAGTGATGAGGTTGATGCTCCTTTCAATAAATATCAATGGTCTTATTCTGGTGAATGATGATGCTTGGCTGCCATTTGACAAATAAAAAATAATCTTGCACTTTTGTCTATAATATGTAGTGGGCAAAACCTGCACTGTATCTGCAAAGTGTTGGCTAGAGCACACGTGCCAATACCAGAATGGGCACATTTGCTGTAGCCTACCTATACGCAATTGTTTTTGTGACAAAACCATCAGTAGGCCTAGAGTTGAAAATGCGATGGAAACCCATTTAACTTTTTTTATTCCGTACGTGGGATTTTAACCTCAAGTTATTTTTATGTGCACTACATATTCACGCACATACTTTTATCTGCAACAAGTCAATTTGATCGAAACAGAACTCTGATGGGGAAAATACGCCAGGGTTTCCCTTAGCTGGTAGGCCTAATTAACGGCTTTTTGCCACTCCAAAATATAAAGCTGATAACAATATAATGCTTATCGTTATACAAAATATTTGGATTCAAAATTAACTAGTTAGCCTCTTTCTGAACGTCTAGATCTGTATCGCAGGCGCAGTAGCCATCTGACATAAATAAATGCATGTCGGTGTTGCAGCATACAGTGGGGAAAAAAAGTATTTAGTCAGCCACCAATTGGGCAAGTTCTCCCACTTAAAAAGATGAGAGGCCTGTAATTTTCATCATAGGTACACGTCAACTATGACAGACAAAATGAGAAAAACATTTCCAGAAAATCACATTGTAGGATTTTTAATGAATTTATTTGCAAATTATGGTGGAAAATAAGTATTTGGTCAATAACAAAAGTTTCTCAATACTTTGTTATATACCCTTTGTTGGCAATGACACAGGTCAAACGTTTTCTGTAAGTCTTCACAAGGTTTTCACACACTGTTGCTGGTATTTTGGCCCATTCCTCCATGCAGATCTCCTCTAGAGCAGTGATGTTTTGGGGCTGTCGCTGGGCAACACAGACTTTCAACTCCCTCCAAAGATTTTCTATGGGGTTGAGATCTGGAGACTGGCTAGGCCACTCCAGGACCTTGAAATGCTTCTTACGAAGCCACTCCTTCGTTGCCCGGGCGGTGTGTTTGGGATCATTGTCATGCTAAAAGACCCAGCCACGTTTCATCTTCAATGCCCTTGCTGATGGAAGGAGGTTTTCACTCAAAATCTCACGATACATGGCCCCATTCATTCTTTCCTTTACACGGATCAGTCGTCCTGGTCCCTTCGCTGGCCATGGCAGAACACTGACATTCCTGTCTTGCAGGATATCAAGCACAGAACGAGCAGTATGGCTGATGGCATTGTCATGCTGGAGGGTCATGTCAGGATGAGCCTGCAGGAAGGGTACCACATGAGGGAGGAGGATGTCTTCCCTGTAACGCACAGCGTTGAGATTGCCTGCAATGACAACAAGCTCAGTCCGATGATGCTGTGACACACCGCCCCAGACCATGACGGACCCTCCACCTCCAAATCGATCCCGCTCCTGAGTACAGGCCTCAGTGTAACGCTCATTCCTTCGACAATAAACACGAATCTGACCATCACCCCTGGTGAGACAAAACCGCGACTCGTCAGTGAAGAGCACTTTTTGCCAGTCCTGTCTGGTCCAGCGACGTTGGGTGCATGTTTATTAATTGTTTATGGTTAATTGAACAAGCATGGGAAACAGTGTTTAAACCCTTTACAATGAAGATCTGTGAAGTTATTTGAAATATAGGGTCCTGAAAAAGGATGGTTTATAAATATGGATGGTTTATAAAGCCAGGCACATTTAACAGTTAGGCTATTGATTACAGACTTAATTAAGTTGGTTTCCTCTCTCCTCACTTTTCTTTGACAATTAAGGCAAGGGCTGTTTCCTATTCTCACTCTGCTGCTGCCTCCGCCACATTATACTCAACACCAAAATATATATTTGCGGCTGCTCAAATAAAGAAATCCCAGTCTACCAAAATGGGGCTAGCTCTAGTAGGGAGGGATGTATTTTCTGTTTGTCGAGATTGACATTGTCTACTATTGTGATGTTGAATACGCAAACCATGATATTGAAGTGCCCGAAGTTGGTATGCTTTGTTAATTGGTTGTGTGGTGCATTGGTACAGCACTGATGAAGGCATAAGGCCGAAACGTATGCTCCGTTCCTTTTTTTACAATTGTATTTAGCGCCTTGCACTTTCACTTTTTGTGTTCTTTCGAGCATGGATTACTTTTTGAACTCTACAGATGTTTTCTCTCCCACGCACTGGCCGCCTTTCATTCTAGCCTGAACGCAAACCCTCATACTGGCTTTCTGCATTGGCACAGAAGCCTGTTGGTGAAAAATGTGTTGCATACATTTTATATAATTATAAATATGGCATCAAAATGTAGAAAATCTGATTTCCCCCTAGCTGATCATTGATCATAGTGTAATGAAACAGGCAGGAAGAGTGAGCTCGTCTGTGGTGGTCGGCGAACCCTCAACTTTCTGGCCCGTAGACCTGCGTGGGAAAGACTGTGACTCAAAAGCAAGCTGAAGTGGCAAAGTTGATATCAGCATTTATAAACACAGGGTCGCTACAGTTATTTTTGTCCCCCTTCGTCCCTTAGCTAACAACGCCTAACTTGACCCAACTAACGTTAGCTAGCTACCGTTACCTTGCTATTTAAGATTGACATTTACGTCATTTAGCAGACACTCTTATCCAGAGCGACTTACAAATTGGTCCATTCAACTTATGATAGCCAGTGGGACGACCACTTTTTTTTTTTATGGGGGGGTGGGGGAGGAGGGGTAAAATTATTACTTTTATACTATTCCAGGTAGATCTTAGCAAATGGTGTAATGGTAATACCAATAATTGTATATGGTGACGTAAACTAGACAATGGATTATCTTATGTTAACTAAATTACGTTTTAGTTTAATATATAACGATTTTGCCTATTTACTAGATGTAGCCTAGCTAGCTAACGTCATTCCAAATCTCACCCCCTACTATTTTGTCTCTTTTTTTATTTTTAGGCTTCCTTTGGAAGTACGAGCCCAGGTAAGTTTTCTACATGTATTACTTTTTGTTGTATTAATGCAGGTGGAACCATGAAGTTGATGTACATCATTCACCGTAATAACTAGCTAAGTCTAACGTTACTGTGTTATTATCCAGTTGGCTCTCTGTCTTCAGAAGATCATGACTTTGATCCGACAGCAGAGATGTTGGTCCATGACTATGACGATGAGCAAACTTTGGAGGACGAGGAGATGCAGGAGGAAGGGACAAGCGTCAGTGCTGAAATAGCAGATTTGGAGAAGGTACAATTTCATGTTCCACAGATGTCGTTGTTACAAGATGCAAAATTAGTCAGCCTAGCAATCTAAAATAATGCATTGCATGCATTGGTTTACATGTCATTGTACACTTGAGCTCTTTTTGTAATTAAGGGATGGTTCACTATTTGTTGGACTACATTTTTCTAAATTGAACTTGGGCATTTTTTTTTATCAAACCATTCACATTTGGGATATTTTGTTTCTTTCAGCAGTCTCTGGCAATAGAGTAGCTCCTGCTAATGTAATCCAATGGGGCCAATATTCTGAATCGCAAATATTTTTCCATGACACTAAAGCAAATTGTAGCCTTCAGAGGTTGTACATATTAAGTTACAGTTGAAGTCGGAAGTTTACATACACTTAGGTTGGAGTCATTAAAACTTGTTTTTCAACCACTCCACACATTTCTTGTTAACAAACTATAGTTTCGGCAAGTCGGTTAGGACATCTACTTTGTGCATGACACAAGTAATTTTTACAACAATTGTTTACAGACCGATTATTTCACTTATAATTCACTGTATCACAATTCCAGTGGGTCAGACGTTTACATACACTAAGTTGACTGTGCCTTTAAACAGCTTGGAAAATTCCAGAAAATGATGTCATGGCTTTAGAAGCTTCTGATAGGCTAATTGACATAATTTGAGTCAATTGGAGGTGTACCTGTGGATGTATTTCGAGGCCTACCTTCAAACTCAGTGCCTCTTTGAACGTACTTTGGTGCGTAAAGTGCAAATCAATCCCAGAACAACAGCAAAGGACCTTGTGAAGATGCTGGAGGAAACAGGTACAAAAGTATCTATATCCACAGTAAAACGAGTCCTATATCGACATAACCTGAAAGGCTGATCAGCAAGGAAGAAGCCACTGCTCCAAAACCGCCATAAAAAAGCGGTTTGACTACGGTTTGAAACTGCACATGGGGACAAAGATCGTACTTTTTGGAGAAATGTCCTCTGGTCTGATGAAACAAAAATAGAACTGTTTGGACATAATGACCATCGTTATGTTTGGAGGAAAAAGGGGGTTGCATGCAAGCCGAAGAACACCATCCCAACCGTGAAGCACGGGGGTGGCAGCATCATGCTGTGGGGGTGCTTTGCTGCAGGAGGGACAGGTGCACTTCATAAAATAGATGGCATCATGAGGAAGGAAAATTATGTGGATATATTTAAGCAACATCTCAAGACATCAGTCAGGAAGTTAAAGCTTGGTCGCAAATGGGTCTTCCAAATGGACAATAACCCCAAGCATACTTCCAAAGTTGTGGCAAAATGGCTTAAGGACAACAAAGTCAAGGTATTGGAGTGGCCATCACAAAGCCCTTACCTCAATCCTATAGAAATCTGTGGGCAGAACTGAAAAAGCCTGTGCGAGCAAGGAGGCCTACAAACCTGACTCAGTTACACAAGCTCTGTCAGGAGGAATGGGCCAAAATGTGGAAGGCTACCCAAAACGTTTGAACCAAGTTAAACAATTTAAAGGCAATGCTACCAAATACTAATTGAGTGTATGTAAACTTCTGACCCACAGGGAATGTGATGAAATAAATCATTCTACTATTATTCTGACATTTGACATTCTTAAATGAAAGTGGTGACCTAAGACAGGGAATTGTTACTAGGATTAAATGTCAGGAATTGTGAAAAACTGAGTTTAAATGTATTTGGCTAAGGTGTATGTAAACTTCCGACTTCAGCTGTCTATCATATATCAGGGGTACTCAACTACTGTACAGTCGTGGTCAAAAGTTTTGAGAATGACACAAATACAAATTTTCACAGTCTGCTGCCTCAGTTTTGATGGTGGCAATTTGCATATACTCCAGAATGTCATGAAGAGTGATCAGATGAAATGCAATTAATTGCAAAGTCCCTCTTTGCCATGAAAATGAACTTAATCCCCAAAAAACATTTCCACTGCATTTCAGCCCTGCCACAAAAGGACCAGCTGCCATCATGTCAGTGATTCTCTCGTTAACACAGGTGAGAGTGTTGACGAGGACAAGGCTGGAGATTACTCTGTCATGCTGATTTGAGTTAGAATAACAGACTGGAAGCTTTAAAAGGAGGGTGGTGCTTGAAATCATTGTTCTTCCTCTGTTAACCATGGTTACTTGCAAGGAAACACGTGCCGTCATCATTGCTTTGCACAAAAAGGGCTTCACAGGCAAGGATATTGCTGCTAGTAAGATTGCACCTAAATCAACAATTTTTCGGATCATCAAGAACTTCAAGGAGAGAGGTTCAATTGTTGTGAAGAAGGCGTCAGGGCGCCCAAGAAAGTCCAGCAAGCGCCAGGACCGTCTCCTAAAGTTGATTGAGCTGTGGTATCGGGGCACCACCAGTGCAGAGCTTGCTCATGAATGGCAGCAGGCAGGTGTGAGTGCATCTGCACGCACAGTGAGGTGAAGACTTTTGGAGGATGGCCTGGTGTCAAGAAGGGCAGCAAAGAAGCCACTTCTCTCCAGGAAAAACATCAAGGACAGACTGATATTCTGCAAAAGTGATAACTAAGTGGCTCGGGGAACAAAACATCGACATTTTGGGTCCATGGTCAGGAAACTCCCCAGACCTTAATCCCATTGAGAACTTGTGGTCGATCCTCAAGAGACGGGTGGACAAACAAAAACCCACAGATTCTGACAATCTCCAAGCATTGATTATGCAGGAATGGGCTGCCATCAGTCAAGATGTGGCCCAGAAGTTAATTGACAGCATGCCAGGGCGGATTGCAGAGGTCTTGAAAAAGAAGGGTCAACACTGCAAATATTGACTCTGCATAAACTTAATGTAATTGTCAATAAAAGCCTTTGACACTTATGGAATGCTTGTAATTATACTTCAGTATACCAAAGTAACATCTGACAAATATCTAAAAACACTGAAGCAGCGAACTTTGTGAAGACCAATACTGTCATTCTCAATACTTTAAACCACGACTGTAGTAGTAATAAACCCCCAAGTCGCTACCCTAAACGGTTCACACATCTTGTTGGCGGAAAGAACACTTTGCAGCAGTGTTTCCTCTTCACTAATTTCTGTGGCGCTGCGCCACGGTAAAATCATTGCTGCCATGCCCCAAAAAATATGAAACATTGCAAAATGTTTGTCAAGGGGCACTTTGAAGATGTTAGAACAGTCCACATTTACTTTTCTTCTGCAAACAAAATTAGTGATGTGTAGAAAATCAAACACCATAGTAGAATCATTTATCTATACTGAACAAAAATATAAATGAAATATGCAACCATTTCAAAGATTTTACAGAGTTACAGTTCATAGAAGGAAATCAGTCAATTGAAATAAATTCATTAGGCCCTAATCTGTGGATTTCACATGACTAGGAAGGGGTCATCCATGGATGGGCCTGGGAGGGCATAGGCCCACCCACTTGGGAGCCTGGTCCACCCACTAGGAATCCAGGCCAAGCCAATCAGAATGAGTTCCCCACAAAAGGGATTTATTACAGACAGAAATAGTCCAGAGCACTCCCCCTCCTCAGACGGTCCTGCAGGTGAAGAAGCCGGATGGTGGACATTCCTGCAGTCATCATGCCAATTGCACGCTCCCTCAAATCTTTGGCATTGTGTTGTGTGACAAAACTGCACATTGTAGAGTGGCCTTTTATTGTCCCCAGCACAAGGTGCACCTGTGTAATGATCATGCTGTTTAATGATCATGCTGTTTAATCAGCTTCTTCATATGTCACACCTGTCAGGTGGATGGATTATGTATGAAAAATGTATGCACTCACTAACTGTAAATCGCTCTGGATAAGAGCGTCTGCTAAATGACAAAAAAAAATGTCTGGGGTCTTTTATTTCAGCTCATGAAACATGGGACCAACACTTTACATGTTGCGTTTATATTTTTGTTCAGTATATTTACCTAGTCTGCTTGTTGTTTGTTCTATAAGAGAGAAACATTCCTCTCTAGGCGCATTCAAGTTACGAGTGCCATAGGGAGGGAAACCTGCATTCTGACAGCAGTTTTAATGGCGTTTGTTCCCAGCTTTCCATTCCTACTTTATTTCTCAACTCCTAAATAAGCATGAACTGCACCATTTTAAACATTTTAAAGACTAGGTGGTTTCTGTGAGAAGTACGGGCAGGGGGCATATTACCCCAGGGCGGGGCTACCCCAAGTTACCCTAACAGGTAGACCTACCTTATATTCACTGTGTTTATGCAAGTTTTTTGGGACATACAGTGCATTCGGAAAGTATTCAGACCCCTTGACTTTTTCCACATTATGTTACGTTACAGCCTTAATCTAAAATGGATTTTTTTTAAATCCTCATCAATCTACACACAATACCCCATAATGACTAAGCGAAAACAGGTTTTTAGAAATGTTTGAAAATGTATAAAAAATTTAAAAACGTATTTACGTAAGTATTCAGACCCTTTGCTATGAGACTCAAAATTGAGCTTAGGTGCGTCCTGTTTCCATTGATCATCCTTAAGATGTTTCTAGAACTTCATTGAAGTCCACCTGTGGTAAATTCAATTGATTGGACATAATTTGGAAAGGCACACACCTGTCAGTTGACAGTGCATGTCAGAGCAAAAACCAAGCCATGAGGTTGAAGGAATTCTCCGTAGAGTCGATGCACATATCTAGGGAAGGGTACCAAAACATTTATTTGGAACCTAGGGCTGGCCGCCCGGCCAAACTGAGCAATCGGGGGAGAAGGGCCTTGGTCAGGGAGGTGACCAAGAACCCGATGGTTACTCTGACAAAGCTCCAGAGTTCCTCTGTGGCGATGGGAGAACCTTCCAGAAGGACAACCATCTCTGCAGCGCTCCCCAATCAGGCCTTTATGGTAGTAGCCAGACGGAATCCACTTCTTAGTAAAAGGCACATGACAGCCCGCTTGGAGTTTGCCAAAAGGCATCTAAAGACTCTCAGACCATGAGAAACAAGATTCTGTGGTCTGATGAAATCAAGAATGAACTCTTTGGCCTGAATGCCAAGCGTCAGGTCTGGAGGAAACCTGGCACCATCCCTACGGTGAAGCATGGTGGTGGCAGCATCATGCTGTGAGGATGTTTTTCAGCTGCAGGGACTGGGAGACTAGTCAGGATCAAGGGAAAGATGAACGGAGTAAAGTACAGAGACATCCTTGATGAAAACCTGCTCCAGAGCGCTCAGGACCTGAGACTGGGGCGAAGGTTCACCTTCCATCTGGACAATGACCCTAAGCACACAGCCAAGACAACGCAGGAGTGGCTTTGGGACAAGTCTCTGAATGGTCTTGAGTGGCCCAGCCAGAGCCCAGACTTGAACCCGATCGAACATCTCTGGAGAGACCTGAAAATAGCTGTGCAGCGAGGCTCCCCCTCCAACCTGACAGAGCTTGAGAGGATCTGCAGAGAAGAATGGAAGAAACTCTACAAATACAGGTGTGCCAAGCTTGTAGCATCATACCCAAGAAGAGTTGAGACTGTAATCGCTGCCAAAGGTGCTTCAACAACGTACTGAGTAAAGGGTCTGAATACTTATGTAAATGTGATATTTCTGTTTTTTATTTTGAATACATTTGGAGAGAAAAAATCTACAAACTAGTTTTTGTAATGTCATTATGGGGTATTGTGTGTAGATTGAGGGGGGACAAATATTTTAATAAATTTTAGAATAAGGCTGTAACGTATCAATGTGGAAAAGGTCAAGGGGTCTGAATACTTTCCGAATGCACTGTACAATTCATCAATAAGATGCTAACTTGTTAAAAGGTCACATTTGGGATCTAGCTAATGATTAGCCCAATAGGGTAAATGCAGATAGGCAACCCCATGCTTCAGGCTATTTTTATTTTTTTATAGCCTCTATGCTGCATCAGTTGGGCTACAGATGATAATGCTTATTGCTGATAGCATACCTGATCATATGGACCATGCATGCGTGGTCCAATATGTAAAAAAACATATTTTTACAAATGTTATTGGGCTCAATTCAGGAGGTGGAAATGATCATTTAGATGGTGTCTGCATAATGTTATGTTAATTCATTTTGGAGTAGAATGTCCTTTTCTTATTTTTTTGTCACCAGAATTTAGCCTCTCAGTCCTTCTACATAGAAATTATCTGGGGGGGGGGGTGGACCCCCGGCAGTGGAGGCTGCTGAGGGGAAGACGGCACATAGTTATGGCTGGAATGGAGTAAATGGAATGGTATCAACCACATGGAACCACATGTTTGATACCATTCAATTGACTATATTGCAGCCATTATTATGAGTTGCCCCCCCCCAGCGAATGTATGCAGGACACCATCTAAATGTAGTTTCAGCCTTCCCCTTAATCCCCCCACAAACTTTTCCTCCCACTGCTACACATTTTTCCAGAGCAAACACTGCTTTGCAGTTTTAAAGCTAATTTCCTGGAATACTACACATTTTGTCCTATGATACATGAGTGACTCCACAAAATCATTGGGGCCCCATGGGCACATAATATGGCCATGATAACTGCAATATTTAAATAGCTGGTTAACCTAACTTACCAAGCTAACATGGGATAGTTGATCAACTGAATTTTCCAACCGGTTATAATTAATGGCCGATACAACTCCCCTCAATACAATACTAGCCTCGCTCTGTACAAGAAAATGTTAGAAAGGCTGCTGAATATGGCTAGATAAAATCTGCCTTGGAGGATTGACAGCAGCCAAGGTGTGGGAAACAAAATGAATTTGTATTATTAGTGAACCGTCGATTTTAATGTCAATGTTCTGTCATGTAAATCTTCCTAACTGTTATGCATGAAATGTTTTTTTTGTGATTTGTAAAACAAAACAAAATCAAGTCATCTTTAATCTTCCAGGAGGGCAACATGCCACTGGAGGAGCTGCTGGCTATGTATAGATACGAAGCATCGATCGGCAACGCTGGAGGGTCAAGTGTGGACAGCTCCTCAGTTGAACTTACGGACGAGCTACCTGATATGACATTAGATAAAGTAAGTAAGCACCGTGTCAAATTTGTACGTTGGACTGCCTCTTCTGTAATATGTACATTCACTTGGAAAAGTTATCCCTCTGCAGTGAAAACGTATATTTGTAAACACATTTTTAGTAGGTTGTGAGAGGGCTTTCCGTTTAAATTAGTTTGCCTCAGATTCACTATTGGATACTGGGGGTTTCATTGTGATGATAGCCTGAACATTGTATTCCTACTTCACCCTTTTTACCAAAGATTTAGCAAAACCATTGTTTTTATGTATTGACTGTTGTTGGTGTATTTTAATCAGGAAGAAATAGCAAAAGATCTTCTGTCAGGTGATGATGAAGAAACGCAGTCCTCAGCTGATGACCTCACACCCTCAGTGACATCCCATGAAACCAGTGATTTCTTCCCCAGAACACTACGTTGTAAGTTTAACATTGGCATCATTCACTTCCTTGAACTGTGGAATATCTTCCTTTTTTGTTTCCCTATAATGCCACCACTGACATTTTTTTATTTTACCTTTATTTAACTAGGCAAGTCATTTAAGAACAAATTCTTATTTACAATGACGGCCTACACCGGCCAAACCCGGACGATGCTGGGTCAATTGTGCGCCGCCCTATGGGACTCCCAATCACAGCCGGTTGTGATACAGCCTGGAATCAAACCAGGGGCCTGTAGTGACACCTCAAGCACTGAGATGCAGTGCCTTAGACCACTGCATCACCTGACATCAGTGCTTTTAGCAACCTGAAATATATTGTGAGATTAAGTCCTAATGTAAAAGGTTTGTGGTAAAGCGTAATGGTAGTCCACGATACAAATTTCGGAAGTAGCATATCGAGCCGACTTGGGCAACAACGAGAAGTGAGAGGCTAATCTCCTACACCACCGTTGTTTCCATGCAGCTATCACTTTGCAGCAGAGTGAAGCAAACTCCCATGCGTGTGCAGATGCTCTGTGTGGAAGCTCACAAGTGTGGTCTCCTGTATCATGTTTACGCAATATTTTTTGTTTCATACTGCTGCTCGTATCGCTGATTCACAGTTTAAGTTGACCCCCCTATGCACTGCAGTCCCTTTTACTTCCCTGTATTATCTCCTCACCTCCCGCTATCTGCTTCTCTAGCTAATGCTATTTATGACGGAGACAAGGAATCGGAGGGTGAGGAAGAAGGTGTGTGTCCTGAGGACTCCAGGAAGGTGTGTATTTCAGTGCTTCTCATGATCCATCATTACTCCACCGACTCCTAGTAGATGAGGCTCATGACACGTGGATGGCTTGTTACACTGCAAATGTCAACATATAATGAATGGTATTCCTTTTAAATGAACTCATAATTTGTTATCTGTTTTCAAAGGAAATCATGGTCGGGTCCCAGTATCAAGCTGAAATCCCTGCCCTTGTGTATAACTACGATGACAATGAAAAAGGTCAGTGTATGCTCACTCCTCCATATTTGGTATGTGAGATACAAAATATATATTTTCAATTTCTCTGGCACACTCCACTCTAGCTCTCTTGAAGATCAACTCTGAATTTAAATCGATTTGTGTTTTTTTGTCCTTCCCAAGGCCTTGTATGAGCTTGTGAAGTGGTGAAATTTAATGTAAAGATATATTGAACGTTTACTTGATTTGATATTTGTTCAATGTATGTACAAAATCTGTTCAATATATGTAAAGATATATTGAACAGATATGATGAAAAGGTAGGAAACGTCCGTCACAGCTTCCAAGTGTTGTCATTGTCTGAAAATGTATCCTCCTAGTGTATGAGAATGAAGACCAGTTGCTATGGCAACCTGATGTCCTGCCGGAGCAGACGGTGAAAGACTTCCTTCATGACACTTCCGCCCTAGTAGTTGATGGGAATGTGGGGCCTGCGCTGGAGAGTGGTCTTGTTCAAGACAACGAGCAGGTACGTTTTTAAAAATGTTATTTCTCTCTTGCTCTCTCTAGCTCTCTTAACTGATTAGTGTTATTTGTCCCTCCCAAGGCCTTGTATGAGCTTGTGAAGTGTAACTACAATGTCCATGATGCACTGGAGCGTTATCGCCGGAGTGAAAAGTCCTCTGAGGGTAAGTTGACATTCTTACACACAGATTCATATTGTACTATTGTATTAAAACAGTGGAGTAAAAAATAAATGTTCCACCTTTGATTTCAGGTGAAATGCCTCCCTGGTCAGAAGAAGAATGCAGAAACTTTGAACTTGCGCTGCTCCTTTATGAGAAGAACTTTCACCTCATCCAGAAACATAAGGTAAGACCAGTCTTATCAATACAGTAGTACTTCAAAGATACAAACACATCGGGAATGGAGGTCGTTCGGAACACTGAAATATCTGTAACTTTGAAATTCACTTAAAAATCACAATAAACCATTGCATATTTACATGTTTACTAATCAATTATCCAGAATTTGTAAATCTGATGTGTTTTTAGCTTCTCTTTTCTTTGCATTTATATTGCCCGTTCAGTTGACCGGTCAGTTGGTAACTGAGGACTGGTTTCCCAAACACATATTAAGCCTGTTTCTGGACCAAAAAGCATGCTCAATGGAAAATCTCCATAGAAACTGTTTTTTTGTCAAGGACTAGGCTTAGTCTGGAAAACCAGCCCAGAGGTTTGTATCTTTTGAGGTTCTACTGTAGATGAAATGGGAAATTGTTGTTCAATGCCAGTCATGTCCTGCAAGGGCTTGATACATCCCTCATTTAACCCTTCACCTACTGTTTCTCCTTCAGGTGAATACAAGGACAGTCGCTGAATGTGTCTCCTTCTACTACATGTGGAAAAAGTCGGAACGATTTGACTTCTTTGTCCAACAGAACCGGTTTGGGAAAAAGAAGTACAGCAGCTACCCCGGTGTAACGTGAGTGACCCTTTGTCATGGATTGACCTCGCATTTTGTCTGATGTTAACCCAGATAGCGTTTTCCCCCTATTCTGCCAAAGTACAATTGGGTCATTCCCAATGTTCCTCTAAGCTACGCACGTGCACAGGCTCCCCTTGGACTGCCGCACAGAAGCAATATCAGCCCACGTAGAGAAGCACGAGATTGAACTTCACTCACCTTTCTAGAGTTTTCCCCTTTAGTTAACACTATCAACATTTCGCTCTGCTGTGGGAATTGTGCTCAAATCAACTCAACATAAGCCACTTTCAATGTAACATACTGGAAAAAAAGCTAACTATGCAAGACTTATTAGTACGCAAAACTAACTGTGCAAGAGATTTTCTCATAGGCAGAGCGCATTGGAGTAGGATTATATTGCATTGACAAGCACGACTCAGCCAATACTCTACACAGACCGGTGCGCCATAACCAATAAGAGCTGCATTAGGCCTATATGCAAATAGCCATTTGCATATATGGATCTGTGTCATTCAATTTGAACTGGACTGTTTACAGCATGAGCGCTAGTGAGTAGTTGCACTTGTTTTGAGATCAAAGTGAGAGCTGCAATGTAGCCACCTGTGCACATTTGTTCATATTCTTTGCTAGTTAGTGAGTTATTAGCACAGTTATAGCTAATTTCTAGTCAACAATGTGGGGGGTGGTTGCTTCTAGCCATCTTTGAAAAGCGAGTCAGGTAAAGAGCAGTGTTGTATTTTGAGACGATCTCGAATAAGCTAAGGAGCCAATATGCAGAGGGTAGCCTACTTGGCCACTGTTCAAACTGTAACTAAAGCGGGTACAGCCTCAGTGTTCACAGTAAACAATCGCCGGAAGTTGCGCAGCATTTTCATAACGTTCAAGTTTGCGCTCAGCAGGCCTGAAATTTGCTCAGTGCCGCAAAAATTGAGAGAACATCGATCATTCCATCATTTTGGTGCCTTTGATAAATGTAACTTGGTAAAAAATTAATTAAAAAAGACAAGTAACAGGGTTGACCGTAATAGGGTTGACGATTTCTTCTTAAATCAACCATAAATCCCCTTGTGACAGGGGGAATGGAAGCTTGTTGTGTGGAGTGCAAGCTTCACACAAAAAAGTTATATTGTTAAAACACCAGAAAATTGCCAAAAAGAGAAGAACCAGCTCACCTGCTTTTACTCTATGATTTTACTATTAGATGTTCAATGTTTCTTTTTTCTTTTTTTATAATTAAAAAGGAATAATTTCACCATATTAAAACGAGAGTTCAGTTCACGTAACCAGGTTGACCTTTTAAAATGAGGGACAGATGTAAATGAATCATTTAACCATGTTAAATAAATAACTTCAGAAATGATATTCAAAGTAACAAAATAACTAGGGCTTTACAATGATGGTGAAATGTTGGGATTGAGTGGGTTAAAATCTAACTTGAAGTGACGGAGAGACATGTCAAAATGCTGAATTTTCACTTTAGCTAGTCTTTATTCATATAAAAAATCTGATTTATTGAATTCTCCATCTGGTCTATATTAAAGGGCACTTAATTTAATATAACAGGCTTTTAAAATTATATATTGGTGTATATCTTCTACTTAAAATATCAAAGGGATGCAAAAGGCACTAATTTTGTGGAACGACCCAATGAAGGACGGTTGCAATGTCTTTGGAGGAACAATATGGGTTGTCTCGTAACCATCTTTTGTAGTTAAATGTGCAAAATGTAGAAATCTCTCTGCCATTGCATGGTTGCAAAAATTCTAAAATGTTTGCCTAATTTCAGTTTGTGACAAAACAAGCATAGTGTAGGAAATCATTGTAACATTTACATTTGAGTCATTTAGCAGACGCTCTTATCCAGAGCGACTTACAGGAGCAATTAGGGTTAAGTGCCTTGCTCAAGGGCACATCGACAGATTTTTCACCTAGTCTGCTCGGGGATTAGAACCAGCGACCTTTCAGTTACTGGCACAACGCTCTTAACCACTAAGCTACCTGCCACCCGTAACATCTAAACTGCTGTTAATCTTTTCAGTAACCCAAATTATCATATTTTCAGCTGTTTGAAGCTGGTCTACAAAACCAAAAGTAAAATGCAAAAACTAAACTTTGAGGGGCCAATCTGTAGGTCAAACAACAGTGACAACCATGCCACCTTTTTGGATAAACAGCTTAGGGATGGGGCTAGAGAAATGTAACCACTATCAAATTCATATGCAAATAAATGCTAAAACACACCAATAGGATCTCACTAAGGACTGACCAACCATGAGATCAAAATGATAGTTTTAACCATGTTTTGAAGCTATACAGTGTTTATATTGACATTGTTTAGCTTATATTTTTGGTTTTGACTGGGTTAAACAGTTGAACCACAGATATGAGACAGATATTTCACCGGATGTATTAATGTGAAGCATCCAGTTGGTGTTTCCACTCACTACCAAATATGGTGATGAGAGGAAGCCCAAATGGTGATGAGAGGAAGCCCAGTGGCCGGCAATGAGAGAAGATGGAGCGAGATGGATTTTGGCAAACATTCGGAACATTTTCTCATCAATGAAACATTTGTTCTCCATACAGTTTTATGTTTCCAAAACTAAAATCTGGAACATAGTGGACTGCATTTTTATAGACTTTACACTTTGCCAAAGTTTTTTAAAAATTGCGTTGTTTAGAAGGTGTGCAAGGGCGAATTGAGTTATTGCACACCCACACTTCAGAGTAGGTGTTCCCTAACGGAAATATGCAAATAAATGCTAAAACACACCAATAGGATCTCACTAACTCGTGCTTGGCTCTGCCCACCTCCTTGCTTGTTCTGCCCATTTATTAATTTGCTCCCATTGGAATCGACAGGCTTTGGTCTAGGGCTGTCCCTGACAAAAAATATATATATATTGGTCGACCGAAAATCGTCTGTTCTTTCGACTAATTGATTGCTCAAATAAGTAAGCTTAAAGCATCAGACAAGCGCAATGCACATAGTTGATTTTATTAAAACACATACGGTATGTGTCTTAATCAAATCAACTACAGTGCATTCAGAAAGTATTCAGACCCCTTGCCTTTATATATATATACAGTGGGGAGAACAAGTATTTGATACACTGCCAATTTTGCAGGTTTTCCTACTTACAAAGCATGTAGAGGTCTGTAATTTTTATCATAGGTACACTTCAACTGTGAGAGACTGAATCTAAAACAAAAATCCAGAAAATCACATTGTATGATTTTTAAGTAATTAATTTGCATTTTATTGCATGACATAAGTATTTGATCACCTACCAACCAGTAAGAATTCCTGCTCTCACAGACCTGTTAGTTTTTCTTTAAGAAGCCCTCCTGTTCTCCACTCATTACCTGTATTAACTGCACCTGTTTGAACTCGTTACCTGTATAAAAGACACCTGTCCACACACTCAATCAAACAGACTCCAACCTCTCCACAATGGCCAAGACCAGAGAGCTGTGTAAGGACATCAGGGATACAATTGTAGACCTGCACAAGGCTGGGATGGGCTACAGGACAATAGGCAAGCAGCTTGGTGAGAAGGCAACAACTGTTGGCACAATTATTAGAAAATGGAAGAAGTTCAAGATGACGGTCAATCAACCTCGGTCTGGGGCTCCATGCAAGATCTCACCTCGTGGGGCATCAATGATCATGATGAAGGTGAGGGATCAGCCCAGAACTACACGGCAGGACCTGGTCAATGACCTGAAGAGAGCTGGGACCACAGTCTCAAAGAAAACCATTAGTAACACACTACGCCGTCATGGATTAAAATCCTGCAGCGCATGCAAGGTCCCCCTGCTCAAGCCAGCGCATGTCCAGGCCCGTCTGAAGTTTGCCAATGACCATCTGGATGATCCAGAGGAGGAATGGGAGAAGGTCATGTGGTCTACTGAGAGAAAAATAGAGCTTTTTGGTCTAAACTCCACTCGCCGTGTTTGGAGGAAGAAGAAGGATGAGTACAACCCCAAGTACACCATCCCAACCTTGAAGCATGGAGGTGGAAACATCATTCTTTGGAGATGCTTTTCTGCAAAGGGGACAGGACGACTGCACCGTATTGAGGGGAGGATGGATGGGGCCATGTATTGCGAGATCTTGGCCAACAACCTCCTTCCCTCAGTAAGAGCATTGAAGATGGGTCGTGGCTGGATCTTCCAGCATGACAACGACCTGAAACACACAGCCAGGGCAACTAAGGAGTGGCTCCGTAAGAAGCATCTCAAGGTCCTGGAGTGGCCTAGCCAGTCTCCAGACCTGAACCCAATAGAAAATCTTTTGAGGGAGCTGAAAGTCCGTATTGCCTAGCAATAGCCCCGAAACCTGAAGGATCTGGAGAAGGTCTGTATGGAGGAGTAGGCCAAAATCCCTACTGCAGTGAGTGCAAACCTGGTCAAGACCTACAGGAAACGTATGATCTCTGTAATTGCAAACAAAGGTTTCTGTACCAAATATTAAGTTCTGCTTTTCTGATGTATCAAATACTTATGTCATGCAATAAAATGCAAATGAATTACTTAAAAATCATACGATGTGATTTTCTGGATTTTAGATTCCGTCTCTCACAGTTGAAGTGTACCTATGATAAATATTACAGACCTCTACATGCTTTGTAAGTAGGAAAACCTGCAAAATCGCCAGTGTATCAAATACTTGTTCTCCCCACTGTGTATGTATGTATATATATATATATATATATATATATATATATATATATATATATATATATATATATATATATATATATTATATATATATTATATATATATATATATATATTATATATATATATATTATATATATATATATATAATATATATATATATATATTATATATATATATATATATATATATACTACCAGTCAAAAGTTTGGACACCTACTCATTCAAGGGTTTTTCTTTATTTTTACTATTTTGTTTACATTGTAGAATAATAGTGAAGACATCAAAACTATGAAATAACACATGGAATCATGTAGTA